ATTGACTGGCCTGGATGCTTGCCGGCTTTCCTGTTGAGTTTTTGGTGGAGCAGTAGGTTCCGGGCGTTCTGAGGTGGCTTTCAGGAATCTGACCTTCCTGATACAAGGCACGAACTTGGGATCTACCGAACGCTTGTAGTAAAGATGTGCTTGGATCGCGAAACTGTTAAGATGACATGACAGCTCATCTTTATTGAGAAACAAGTGAAATATCGACAGATGGTCTCAAGTTTTGGTGTGCACGACCAGCCACCATCCATCTGGGGAGTTCTGAGGAGGATGGAGTGTCACGTGTAGCACAGCCCTTTGGATACTACGGAATTTTCTTACCCCGGACTTGTTGTGACTTTTGCTGACGAAATTAGAAAACTATGGGAAGGAAAAGCTCGTCTTTATACCCCGGTTTTAAGTCTTTGGTACCCTGTCGGGGAGTCCTTAACGAAGCAACGAGAAAGCGAGTGTTCGGCTGTGAAAAGGGGATTTCTATCGAATCAAGTGTCCAGCGCCAGAGGCTGCGTTAGTTAGGCCATGTATTGCGCATGTTGGTCTGTCGTTTCCCGCTATTTTCCCTACCTAATTCAGAGTGGCGGAAGCACAGAGGTGGCCGGTCATTGACTTGGCACTGGGGTACGAAAGAGATCACGAAAATTCTGGGTGCCTTCTGTGAGGCCACGATATGAAACACGTGATCTCCAATGCGCCTGGTTGGAGACATTGTACGACCTGACTGCTGCCAAGTGTACCTAGCAGTCTTGTTGTCAGACGTAACACACTCTTCACAAACTACACTTATTTTTACATTAATTTGGTCTTAACGGATGACTCAACCAAACCTCTGCTGTATCTCTCGTTTACGACTTCCATCAACTGAATATGCTGCAAAAGTGCTCACTCATATTTCAGTCAGAATAAAAATTTCAGTCAGACTAAGTAAACGGAAACTATTTGACTGCACGGCTCCAAGGTAAAGCGAAACCTGTCGTACGCCATCGAATAGTTTTCAGCGACCTTATGAATAGTGTCCCGTCAAGTGACATTATCTTATTTCCTCTCTACAAGAAAGTGTTTGGTTAGAAAATGCACTTTCGATAATATCAACCTGGGATTTTCATATCATGGTACGCTTTTCCTTTAGACAAGATCCAACAAATATTTCAGTCAAATCGTTCCAATCAGCGTGGCTGGAAGGGACCGGATGCAGACCTCAGCAGTTTACGCCCATGGATTGCAAGGAACAACATGTCTACCAGGCTTGTCAACGCCATTTACAAGCAACTCAAAGATACATTATACGGACAGTGGGCTAACCATGATTGGATTATTGATCTGATCTGGGTGTTCACAGGTCAAGCTTGTAACACCGCAGCAAATTGTCAGAGTGGAATGCACAAACATACCTAGAAGTGAGCCTTGATTGTTTCTAGTCGCTTGACTTATCTAAACTACCATTCACATAATAGGCAAAGCTTCATTTATGTATAAACTGTACGGTTTTTCCTTGCGACATCAAACAGTAAATTCTTTTATTTTTTTTAGGTCGGTTAGGTGCGCAGTAGCACGCAGCGGACACAAACGTATTTTGTGATCTCAATCTGTCAGAAAATTTCCTCAATTCTTGTGATAAAACAGCGGAATTCTGCAACCTAATGGATGAGGCGCATAATCGAGGAGACCAGGTCTTTTGTAATTATTCAGTCAAGCATCTCAAATGGTGAAGAAACGTTTGAGATTCAATTGCCAAGGTTGGTAAACAGATAAACAACCCTGTTATCGACAGCCCGTTTGTAAGGATGCTGAACGATTTGGCTTTACAAGGGGTAAAAGAGCTTTGAGTGTTGTGTACTATTTTTTCAGGTTGGCGTAACGAGTTCAAAAAGCTTCCTACTCGGGTCAGATAAGCCGGTCTCAAGCTTGAGGATCCAAAGATGAAGGGAGCAAGAATGCTAAAGAACGGGTGGCCACCGTGTCATCCTTGTTTCCTCAACCAGCTTCACCTAATTTGTCTAGGACATCCATGGTCACTAGATCACGCGACTCGCCTCCTGCGCATGTACACAAATCACGTGACAACCTTATCCCGCGCGCAACCTTGACCCACAACATGTCAGTTCCCGTCTTGTACGCATCGGAGCGATTTTATGTAATATACATACCTCAAACGTTCCCAGGCATAGGTAGACACAACACAGTCAAAACAGACATACATACTCGCGCGCGCGCAGGGAGCAGGGAGTCAGCCAAACACTTCAAGTCCACGGACAATTATGAAACACATGTAGTAGCCGTCGGACTTTCACCAAGAAACTCTCACGAGTTATCCACAAACGATAAGTCACCTTTTGACTTATTCCATTTTTCGCATTGTATTTATTTTGCCATGGAGCAACTAATAGCTGTAAACTACTATCCGCCAGAATAAAAATTGTTATTAGTGCATACCTCTCCCGAGTTATATTATGACTATCAATTATCATCAACGGTGCACCACATAGGAATTAACACCAAGTTTCACATCATGCGGCATCAAATCTAGCCACTTGTGGGGTGAAGAGGAAGAAACTGAGAAGCGTGGTGTTGTAACATCCCCACCACCTTATCAT